TTTTTTTTTTATTTTTACTTTTATTTATTTTTTTACTTATATTTTAGCCTATATCTATCTCACTTTATTATTATTATTATTACTATTTTTTTTTTTTTTTTAATTCTTTGACAGTCTTACCAGTGCTCAATTTATTAAGACTCATTAAGGTGAGAGTTAAACTCTCTCGAACAATACATTATTATTCATAACCAAAACAATATGTCTCGTGATTGTGAGCCTGACATCACCTGACTGTGATAAACGTGCCCACATGCGACTTGTCACACCAACCTGTATACAAGTTAAATAAACTTTTTTTTTTTTTAAATGCAAAAAGGCGTACTTTATTTTATTTAGTCTATAATTACATAATTAACTAACTATTTACAATTAGAAAGAGTTTATATTTCTATAATTAGGAAACAAGTTAATCCCAGACTTTTTTGTAATCTAATCTTGGCCACCTTTTTAACTACTTCTTCACTCATTATGTTATTTCCCCAGTGGGCCTGGGTGTACCAATACCACGTTTCATATAGAATATTAATATATAACCATATTGCAGCCTTTCTTCTACTATCGTTTGGTATATTCTGTGCCATAAATATTTCCTCCAGACATTGTGGGGTAGCAACTGAGGATGAATTCTTCAAGTGTGAGTAGCCTATTTTCCAAATTGTACGACTAATATTACATCTCAGAGCAAAATGTTCAACTGTTTGTCTATTTTCTGGACAACCGGGCAACTTCCATCTATATCTTTATCTATATGCCTAAGATGATACCCTAGTAGAAGGGCTTTGTTTTGCAGTCTCAAAAAGATGTCCTTCTTCTTATTCATTAACCCTTTACTTCCTAACCAACCAAAGGGGTCTACGGAATTTTCTTGTGAATATATCGGAGACTGTGATGCTGTAGGCCATATTGACAGTTGTCTTAGAAATTCTGTTGCTTTTTTAATAGTGAATTGATCCCCAGATTAATCACATATTTTTAATTGTGTAGGTTCCCAGGACCAGTTGCTGGATGATAACACTGTGCCTCTTTGTCTTTTCCAGACTGTTAAGTATGGTTGCCAGTCTTCTGGCCACCCTTTAAGCTTAACTGGAGATCTTGTTAATGTTTCTACTATTGATATATTTCTTTTGTCCTGTATTCTTTGTGAGATTAAAGTTCGTTCAACCCTGGCCCAGAAGCTATCTGCTGTAAATAGCTTTATCCAAACGGAGCAAAGTCTGGCATCAAGAGTATCCTTAAGAACAGGAGCATTTAGTCCTCCTCTATTATAGTCTAGCTGGAAAGTTGAATAATGCAGAAGTAGTTTTGATTTATTCTTAACCCAGTTGTATATCAATGTGTTGATTTTGTCAAGTTGCTTTCTTTGGGGTGGAAGCAGATATGCCAAAGTACCTTTATGATCTATTTCATAACCCAGAATTTTGAGTGGAGTATTATTATCTGCTATTTTAAAAAGATCTTAGCTATGTTAGTAAGAGGTACCAAAATTGATTTCTTTTGATTAATCTTTGTATTTGAGGCTAGTTCATATTTTTGCAGAATTATCTCCCAATCTGAGGAAGATCCTATTCCTACTGTCAAGTCATCAGCATATACTGTAACTTTGAAGTAGTGGTTTGCTACCTTTATTCTATTCAACTCTTCTTGAATTTTAAGGATAAGTGGATTCAGAACTAGAATATATAACAGAGGTGAGAGCAGATCCCCCTCCCCTGTCTAACTCCTTTTCTACTCGGATTGGTTCTGATATGAGATTGGAATTTGCAATATACGCGGTTTGAAGGTGAAATAAACTCTTGACGATATTAATGAACTTGGTGTTAAAATTTATCCTTTTTAATACTAGAAGAATAAAATCATGACTTATCTGATCAAAGGCCTTTTGCTGATCAAGTAGCAGCAACTAGTGTAATGCTGACTGGTCTTTTTGGTTTCTCATAATAGTAATAATGTCTAATGCTGCATCTGTAATTGATTTACCCTTTATATATGCCTGTTGTGATAGACTGATAATTGATTTGCAGATGATATTAATTCTATTGGCCAGGATTTTCATAAATATTTTAACATCACAGTTGGTAAGTGAAATTGGGCACCAGTTGTCTATGTTTTCTAGATTATCTGATTTTTTCGGAATTAGAGTGATAATGCTCTTGGTCCATGATCTGGGTATTAGACTATTTTCTAGCTGATAATTGAAAAGACCTGTAAGTATTGGGACTATTTCCTCTTTTATTCCCTTATAGAACTCATATATAAAGCCGTTTGAACCTGGAGACTTGTTATTTGGAAGCTGGTTTAAAACCTCATTAACTTCTTCTTCAGAAATTGAGCCTACTAGCATTCTGTTTTGACTCTCTGAGACTTGTGCTAGGCCTTGAGTGAAGAGATTTGCAGCAGTTATACAGTTGTTTTCTGATTTGTAGATATCTTGATAGATATTCTTCATGTATTGTAACTTGTTGACTGGATTGTTTATTTGATTGTGTTTAGAGATCTGAATTTTGTCGCTTGCTGAAGTATTACTCCTGGCCTGTAATGTAAATAGAAGAATTTTGTGGATTTTTTTCCTTCTTCGATCCACTTTATATTTGATCTAGTCTGCCATTTGTCAGAAAGGGTTTGAAGTTCCTCTTGTAGCTGCACATTAATATGTTTTCTTAGAGCTAGGAGATGCTCTGAGTTTTCTATGCTAGATGTCTTATTGTTAATTTTGGTTAATCTTTTTTGCAGCTTCTGAATTCTTTTTTCTGGTGAAGATTGCGGTCTAAAGACTCTGATTATAGATTGTATTCTACATTTATGTAGATCCCATCTTGAGAAGTTTGAAATACTTTGCACCTCTTCAATTACTTCTGCTTTGAGTAGTTGATTTTGCCAGCTATTTTTATCAAATCTCCATTGTTTTGTCTTAGGTTTTTCTGTATTCAACTGCAGTTCACATTCTACTAGCAAGTGATCAGAGTTACCAAACTGTGTTGTGGTCTTCTTGCAGAGGTGCCCATGATTTGCATCAATGAAAATATAATCCAATATTGTGGCCATTACGTGGCCTCCTCATGTATTCTGATGATAAGTTATAAAAGGCTTTGTGCAGGTTGTAACTGCTATGGTATCAATGTACTCTGATGTTAAATTTGAAAGCAATTCTCTTGTAGAGTCACTTGTTAGTGAAGACTGACTTATTCTATTTTCCTGTAGATTAAGGTTTGTATTGAAATCTCCTGCAAGGATAGTTATACACCCTTCATCTGTCTCCAGAAACCAACTATTAAAGAAGTTAACTCTTTCTGCTATACTTGGAGATGCATATATGTGAACTTGCTTTGGTTATACGGCCATTATGTGATTCATTTGTGTTGGATAAAGTGATGTTCAGATTCTCAGCTAAGATTGTGGTTTTAGAGGACCAGTATAAACTGTATCTCCATTGTTGTTGTAAAAAGTTTCTTGTATTAACGTTTTCTAAATTAGTTTCTTGGAGCATAATTAAATCTAAGTGATATGATTTCAATAATATAAGTATTCTATGTGCTTTTTCTAAATTGTTTAATTCTTTAACATTTAAAGTTGCGATTTTTAGTTTGTTAACTATAAGATAAATTAGAGTTGGTGTGTATATGCTAAAAGCATAATTTAAGGTCTATTTGCCTTAAAACCAGGGTATGGCCCCGACCTAGGTTTGTTCGTAGCTGTAATTAACTTTCTAGAATGGTTTTTGGTTTTCCTTTGGAGGTAACCAATGTAAACCCTTCTGCATCGGTATTGTTGACTTCGCTTTTTGTACCATCATTTTTGGTATAAAAGGATGCTAATGGATCTTCTACTATATTTTCCTGACTAATCTCATTATCAGTCTTGATGTGGGATGATTCCGTTTCTGGTTTGACTTCTGCTTTGGACAAGGCTAGAGTTTCTGCTACTGCCACCTGTGTTTCTACTTCATTTTCTTTATGTGGGTCAGAAGTTTCTGCCAACATCTCTGTTTGAGTTTATGCTCCAACCTCTTTATCTAACACCATACTGTTTGTGTCTGAATCTTTTGCTGTTGTATCAATAAACATGATATTCTCTGATTTTTTATTATATGGATTTTCAGTACTCAATGCCATTTGAGAATGTCTCTGATTTTGTGCTTGTTTCCATTCTTGTGCTCTTTGCAACTTCCTTTCTTTCTGTATTTTTCTTAATGCAACTGATGTTTGGTATTCTTGATATTCTTTTTTGATATGGCCTGTTTTGTCACAGAAGTAGCGCACCTTTGGGGCTTCTTTCCAATCAGTTGTAACTTTTTGGTCCCAAATATGTGTAAACCTGAGTATTCTTGTTGTCAGATCTGGATCGTCTGTTGTTTCAAAAATCACTACCCATTGGTCTGTAAGCACTGATGTCCCTTTATACACCAATGGTTTAATGGAGGAAATATTGCCAATATCTTTAAAAGCTTCTTTGATTTGCTCTGAAATAAAATCCTTTTTGCCCATAGGCATATTTCGAAGCCACACTGATAAAAAGCTTTGTCTAATATTTACTGGAATATACCTTTGGAGAGTTTGTTTAAAGATTACAAGACCTTCTGCTGCATAAAACTGCTGCTTCTTCGTCTGTAAAGATGATCTCCAAATGGGATCTTCAGTTTCTTGTAAAGATTGGTTTGGCTGTAATAAGGTCTTTACCGATTACAGTTGCTATTGCTTCCACAATATCAGAAGTGGAAATATTTTCTAAGTTGTGTAGCTCAAAGATTAGAGCGTTTTCGTTTTTAGTATGAATTCTCTTCCTTGAAGAATAGGTTAAAAAAGTCGCTTTGCCTCGTTCGAGCTTAGAAAACAGACTTGACCATTGTTTGGGTTCTGTTTGTTTATTGACTTCATTTAATTGGTTGCTTACATGTTTGTCCACGTGTTTGTTGTTGTTAACTTTATTGGGCACATGTGTTGTTTGTTTTGCCAAGTCTTGAAACACATCATTTGTTTGGGTAAACCAGCTGTTTCCTTCTTTTACCACTTTGGTTTTCTCAACTTTGTTTCTGCTATATTTTCCTGCATACTACTACTGCTTGCAATATTAACTGTGTTGTCTGAGTTCTGGCCTACTGTTTGGAGCAACTCCTTGTTTTTTGCATCTTTATAGCTTGTTCCCCAAATTTCAGCCAAATTTTCTTCTTCTTCGGTAGCTGAAGTTCTTGCCTTTTTATTTTTTCTGTCAAACCCTGGGTTATCTATACTAGATGTTTCCATACTATCTTGCTTACGTTTCTTGTATGTAAGGGCCTCAGCCCCTGAAGTACCTTGTTGTTTTTGTATAAAAGGTGGCGAGTTTTGTGTAGTAATTTTGTTGGCACCAAATTTCCGGAGGAGAACCGAAAAGAGTTTACTTAAGTTAGATAAACTTTGTCAGCCCGTCAAAGCTTTTCTCTTCATATTCTCTTTCTTTACCGAGAGCAAAAGAAAGTGATGATCTCATAACAATACAAAACCACTGATAGTATCAAGAAAACAAAATAAAAAACTAACTAAAAAAACAAATAAAGTGAAAGGGAATTTTTAAAGGAAAAAAAATAAAAGGTGGAACAATGAAATGTAAAAAAAGAAAAACAAAGAAAAAAGCCCGAGGGCCAACAAAGAAGAAGCTACCTCTATCAAGAAGTAGTACAAATATAATGAAAAAAAGAGAAATACACTATTATAACCATGCCAGGTTTAAGAAAAAATTTTATAACAACTGCAACATTTGTATATCTCGACTATAAAGTTATTATCTGACTATCGACCAACTCCGGACGCTACTAGAGACCCGATTCCAGTCATGTGGAAGTCCTGTATCCATAGACTACGTTGCGAATCGTATCTACTGATAAACAAAGCATGTGGTTGCATTCCTGGGTACTTCCGAATTTGGGAGATAAACATTGCCGATCTTTTGGAGGGGGTAAGCCAAATCGCCCACTTTTTATCGAAAATTTAGGAGAAGACCGGCTAAGCGAAAAACACCTAGGGAGAGACCACTTGAACCCAAGGACAGTAGTTACATCCATGTAAAGACTTAACAACATCTAAACCTTCTTCTAGAAGTGATAAACTCTGGGCTTGTTGGCAAGTAGTGTATGAGAACTACTTCTAAATGACAAGTGCTATGCAAGTGGTAAGTGATAAACTCTGAGAAAGTTAGCAGGTAGTGTATGAAAACTACCTCTAAATAACAACTGCTGACTTATAGCTGCTAGTATGCCCTTCGCTTTTATAAGCATTACTTTGTTTTTAACTAAAAATGTGTTTGGATTTTTGGTACAAATGATCATCAGAAAAAGTTGATATTATTATTACTATTATTATTATCATTATTTTTATTTTTACTTATTATAACCCTTTAACAACCTGGATTGCTTTCCTATTTTGATAGTTCTTTATGAATATTGCTCAATAAATAAGGAACAAATTCAACAATATAATTTTATTCATTCAACTAACCAACAAGTACTTCGCAGTAAATATAAAGCAAAACCATATTCTAGTTGTTCTAACTATAATTTAACAAATTTAAATTTTGCTCTAGTAGTACAATTTTCAAGATTTTGGCCTTGGTTTTAATTTAAATATCAAGCTCAAAGTTTTTTTAGATATACTATTAATCTATTTTGGGCAATCTATCGACAACCCTTCTTGGAGAATAAAAGTGAAATTTTCATAGTTTATTAACTACTTGTTGTTATCAAGATAATTAACTACCAAAAGAATTTAGTAAAATGTTTCTGAATTAATAGCACTGTGGCTATAATTGTAGAATCTACTTGTAGTAGCTCTAATTCTCTTACAATAGCTTTAGTTGCTGAATCTGCTCATTTAACTAATAATACTATATACAACCTACTAACAGAAACTATAACTAATACAATTTCAACAACTACTCACAATCTAACTACAGAATCTGTAATTAATATAGCATCTACATCAAATAATATCAATACAAATACATATAATGAATTTTTTATAAATATTTTTTCAGATTTAAATAACATGTCTGGTCAAAGAACATCTACTCATATAGCATGCCAAGTATCTACTTTAATAGATATGCGGGATAGAAATGATAATGAAAATAATAAAAATAGTAATGAAGCCCAAAATGATACTATTACTCAACTATATATTAATAATAGATTAAACCAAGGAGCTGATGAACGCCATGTACCTATTGATAATAGACATAACAACTATCTATAGCAAGAGCAAAAAGAATTTAATATTGAAAATACTATGAGAGCTATTATAGAATGATTTAGACAACTTAGTCAAAATAATACAGAACAAGCTACTGCTGACCCTAATTCTAAGGAATATAAACTAGTTGATTTTCCAATCTTTTCAAGAAGTCATGATAATAGCTCTGTTGAATAGTATGAGGCTTTTAACAGAGCCTGTATCAGTAATAATATTTCAGAAAACTGATGCATTGCTATTGTATCTAATTTTTAAAAGGAACTGCTTTATTCTGGTATAATCAAAACTATTACACTTTTACCTATTGGGATAATATTGTGCATGCCAATGCTGCTTTTTACCAACTTTTTCTGGCCAAATTTAGAGATCCTTTTAAAGTATCTCAATGGCATTATACTCTTAGAAATAGGAAACAAAAACCTGGTAAAACTGTTGATGCGTATAACTCTGCTTTAGATGAACTATGGCATAGAATAGATCCAGATAGTCTTTATTCTGAGGTTGATAAAATAAAACAATTTATTAATAGTCTTTGACAAGAATTTCAATATTTGTATAGTCTGAAAATCCTATTACTTTAGCTAATGCAGTTAAAACTATAGAAGTGGCATATTCCAAAGAAAGTACACTCTCTGCTTATTCATTACTACCTACTTCACTTTAGCCACAGTTCTTTGGTGGATATACTGCTACTTTAACCCAAGTATAAGAAAATAAAAGAACTGATGAACTTTTAGAAACTATGAATTGTTTAAATAGAAATATACAAAGTATTGCTCAGAATCAACAATTGCAATATCACAATTATAATAATAACAATTATAATAACAATTCCAATAATAACAACAACTATAGATTATCTCAACAAAATAACAACAACAATAATGGATGCCATAGATGTGGTCAAGCTGGTTATTATGCTTCTAAATATACTGCCCCTTATTGTACAATTTGTCAGCAAATTGGGCATAGTACATGTAACTGTAGAATGAATCAAAATAGAAGACCAAATAACAACAACTAGAACAATAATAAGAATAATTATAACAATAGCAATCACAATAACAACAATAACAATTGGAATAACAACAATAACAATTGGAATAATAATAATAATCATAATAACAATAATAACAATTGGAATAATAACAATCAAACCAATAACAATAACAATTGGAATAATAATAATAATCGCAATAACAATAACAACAACTGGAACAACAACAATCGTCAAAATAATAATAATTATAATAACAATAACAATAATAATCCTCTTCCAAATAACAATAACAATAACAATAATAATAATAATAACAATAATAATAACAATAACAACAGTAACTAGTATCAACATTTAAACTAGAATTAGTATCTTCTAAGGGTGAGCATACCACCAACACAAACCTCTTATTTGATAAAGAAGTAAACCCTATTAATTTGTGGGATAAAATTGATAATAAACTTAACTTGGAAGATAATAATTATAATAAAATTAATGAACAATTAAATGATCTCTAGATGGATTTTAAAGATATTGTTGGGACCTGCGGGTCTGTAGTGCAGTCCCAGGTCTCAAAATGTAAGGTTGCAAGTTTGAAACCCACGGGGATCTTTCTCTGCAAAAGAACTACGTTTAGGTTATGAGCTGCAGACATAGCCACATAGAGTCATGCAGCATCCAGAAAAGGAAAGGAATCCGACACAAAGAAAGTCGTTAACATGAGGAACCCCCGAATTAGGACTACGGCTTAAAAACTGAATAGGAATCAAGGCTTGTAGCATGAAGCTAATAGAAGAAAGAACCTGCTTGTTCTTGTAGGGGGCCCTTTCCGTTTCGAACGGACCCGAGTAGGCTCAAGTGGTGCAACCATAAGAGGAAGTACTAGTGAATACAAAAAGTATATGGGAGTAGGCCTGTGCCCCAAAACTGGCCATGGGAGTAGGTTGGACAAGCCGAAAACTGGAAACACAGGCCTCAGAACAGGGGCCCTACACCACAGGATCAGGGACCTGGGCTACTAAGGGGGGAACACCACTGTTGGTGGTGATGTACGTAGTACTTAATATGTAACTTAAATTCACTGTAATATGTATAAGACCTTAATAAAAGACGCCGTCAGCATTCCGACTGCTTAGGCAGTTTGGAAAAATTAAAAAAAAAAGATATTGTTGAAATACTTAGATTAAACTCAGGAAAATTAATCTCGATTTAGATAATGATATTCAAACAGATCAAGTAAAAGATGCTTTATTTACAACTACTAAAGTTTTGGAGATAACTATTAATATTCTGGTTGATACTAGCTCTAAAGGATGTGTTGTTGCTAAACATTTCCTTGATTGAGTAAATTATAGTATTAATAAACCAAGTAATGTTTGAGTTGTTGACATTACTGGTAACAAATCAATGCCTTTGAAACAAGTTAAAAATGTTTCTGTCTTACTTGGTACTAAACTTGTATATATGGATATATTAGTAACTGAGTTAAAAAAATATAATATAATTTTTGGCAATGAATATTTGGATAAAGTTCAAGCTACTATTAACTATTATAGTAAAGTTGAGTATTGGAGTTGCTGATCAAATTAAACATATTCCAATATCTTGCAAGCAACGAATAGAGGATTCTAATACTATATATCTTATAACTTTTAAAAACATCTACTCTAATCAAGAGTTAGAGTTAGAATTAGAGGAAGAAAATTTAACTGAACCAGTATATACTACTATTCAAGTTGGTAATGCTTTTACACAACTTGAAGACCAACTGATAGCCAATGTCAAAATAGAAAATATTAACAATCCTCTCCAACACCAACCAGATGATATATTTAAACTTATTTAACCAAAAATTAAGGAAATAAAAGAAAGTCAAGAAGAAAACCAGAAAATAACTATTCCTATTACAAAAGATAAATCAACTTTTATTGGCTATACTCTTGATAACCAACAACAACAAACTATAACTCAATTATTTCTTAATAATGCTGATATATTTACTACTGAATTTTCCAAACTATGTAAAACCAATGTTGTATATTATACTATTCATACTGGTGATTCCTATCCTATTAAACAATGAGCTTACAGATTGTTCTAGTTAAAAAGAAAAAGATTTGGTATAAACTTTAGAAAATTAAACTTCAAATACAAAAAAAAAAAAAAAAAAACTTTTATTTAAACAAAAATACCAAAAAAAATAGCAATAGATTATTATTTTATTTTATCATTATTTAAAACATTTTATTCAATAATTTTAGTATAATATTCAACAACTTGAGTACAACAATATTAAATATTTCATATATCAAACACAACTCTCCCCGACGATCACTTGTACCAAAATTTTAGCTAACAGAAAAACACAATCTTTGTTGGAGAGACATGGCCTTATGTTGCGGTTTGTCTAGAGGTTAACTATCTGTGGGAGACCCCTCTAAAAAGACATTCGGTATGCAAGCCAAGAGCATCATTATACAAGATAACTAGCAGGCGGTGCCCTTGTATAAAAAATCTTGGTAAAGGAAAAAAGTCTCAAAGTAGGCTTCTACTTCGTTGACGAAGTACTAGGGCTGTTACTTCAAAGAAGAACACAGGGGAAACAACAAAAGTTCTGGACTTCCAATACTATCTTCTACCATATTTCCGCGGTTTTGGATTTTTTTTTAAGAATTTTAGCCAAAAGTGGGAAAACCAGCGTACCCCTCCAAAAAATTGGCAGTATTTACTCCTTCCAAATTAGAACGCGTTTACTGAAATGGAACCTCCTACAAACTTATTTGGATTCTGCTTTCCCAAATAAACAATGACGGTGATACTGTTTACAGTATAGGGGATCGGAAGAATCATGTGTAGAAATTTCTTATAGTTAGATGTTTTTTCTTTTCTACTTCTTTTAATACATATAGTGTTAGGTTAGATTTTTTTTTCTGTAGCCTGCACAGACAAAAATAGTGCCGTCATGGTCATCTTCTTTACGGCCTTTTTTTCCTTTTCTCTATTTTTTCTTTTGTGTATATTTTTTGTTTTATTTTCCCTCTTTTTTGTATTTTCTTTTATTTTCTTAAATTTCCCATTGTTCTTGCGGTAAAATTCTTCTATCTAGGAGGCTAGGGAATAAAGTTGGGAAAGAAGATGATCATGACGGGCTAGTGAACCAGGTCAGTGAACCGGGGTGGGTTGGCTTGATGTAGATTGAACCAAACCGGAGAGATTAAAATCATCTTTGGCAGATCACACACAAGTGCATGAGTACTTAGATACTCTATATAGGTAACTGGGTGAGTCATATTCCAGTAATAAGATGTAATATAAAAATTCTTTGGATTGTTGTATATGATCAATAAAAGCAGGGCATGTGGCATGATTGTCAAAAAAAAAAAAAAATTTAGTATAATATTTTAAAAATTTATTAAAAGTAAAATTGATGCAAAAAACAATAATGAAAAGAGTGACCACCTTCTTCCAAGTAAAACCCTAACTATTTTCTAACTCCTCAATCCTACTCCGCAACACCAATTCTCTATCCACAGTACTTGATTCTTCAATGCCACATCTGAGACCTGGACTATTAAACTATTCCACTTCAGCTGCATTTCATAGTCCTGACATGCAAGCTCATTAGAGTCGAATTCTTGCAACCAAGTATAAAGTGTTGGATTATGGCCGAAACAGATTGATTTTGAGAGATTTGAGGCATCTAAAAAACTAACAAGCTAAGATCATTAGAAAAAGAACACTTTCTCCAAGTGATATACTTAAAAATGAGAGTAAAAGAAAGAGAGAAAAAGAGGAAGTGACAAAGAGAAAACTATTCACTGAGGCCTGTATTCAATCATAACAAGTATGAAGGCACCAGCTCACTCAGATGTAGAAGACTGGTGGTTGTTTCAAAAGGTTTAGCTCACAGTTCAAAGAGTATACACACCTTTAACAGATTACAAGTGGCAAGACAGGTAAAATAAAAGAAGTTTTTTACAAGATTTTTAGCTAAAAAAGAAAAGAAGAAAAGTATTAGACAAGTAAGTTTTTACAAAAAAAAAATTTTTAGAGAAAAAAACATGGAAGTAAAAAAGTACTAGGAGGAAAACTTGATTGCAAAAATTTTAAGAACTAGAATACGAAGGAAAAATCAAGATATAAATAGAGTTAACTAATAGACAAATTTTCTTATACAAAAAAAAAAAAAATTTTTTTTTTCTTTGCATAGTGTTGACAAAGAAAATCACAAACAACAATGTGAATTTTCATACCAAGAAAAAAAAATTGTTGCATGGTATTAACAAAAAAAAAATCACAAACAATAATATGATTTACTAATTTTAGAAAAAGATGAACAATTCCGAAAGCAAAAGCTAATTTTAGTACAAAAACTGGTTAAAATTTGAAGATCAGGCAAAAAAAGAATCAAAAAACACATACAATATGGGAACTTTGACAAAAAGATCATAGTAAAACCAAACAAATATGTCATATGAACTACACTACGCCAATGATCAAAACATGTATAGATATTCAAAATTAGCCAACTTTATTTTAATTTCTTTTATTACTTTATATTATTATTATCTAAACATATAAAGCGCTAACCTGGGTCACTATAGTACCCGGACTTATTTCCGGTGACCCCTTATATAAAGCGCAATTCTGCGTCACTATAAAAATCTTAAAAATCCGTGACCACTTATGTCACATAGAAATTGTATTGATTAGATTTTCTTTAACAATTAAAGAAAGTTTTAAAGAATTAAATTTAAGTTAAACTTTCTTTTTGACAAAATAAAATCGCA